CTTGCAATGATTGCAATGAAGTCAGAAAAATCATTGCTTTTGAAAATAATATGGAAGATAGATTCCAAAACTGATTACACAATTTGATCAAATACAACTGCCATTGGTGTAAAAACAGATTACATTTAAATTATGATAACTGTGAGTTATATACAGATCATCAAGAAAAAGTCATCATCGATTTGAATGAAGAAGATGAAGATTTCATCAATAATAATAATATTTGAAAATACATAAATGTCTACCCAGAACAAGCAGAGGATACCCAAAGTAATGATGAATCAATCATTACTATTACTATGGCTGAATTAGAAGAAGAAAGAAGAAGAATTCAATCAAAAAGAATGACAGATTCAGGCCAGAAAACTGTAACCCTGACTCACCGATCACCTTCAGAATCACGTCAAGATGAAAATTTTGAAAATTCGAGAATAAATAAGATAAAAATAAAAAATCAGGAATACGAATACTGATGATAACATAGTCAATATTACATGGTCAGAAACATCAGAGGATCTGAAAGAAACCTCTAGAAATTCTGAAATAAAAAGAGAAAAATAAACGCTTCCTCACGAGAAGTACACTATCCATCCACTTTCAAGTAGAACAAAAAATGATGGTACCAGCTGATGACAATCACCAGCCAGAAATCATCAGGAAACTGAAGAAAATGATAAATGGGATACGACCAGTATCCCATGGATGATAATAACAGATGATGGTAATAGCAACAGTAACAACAACGAAACAGGAATGCCCTACAAAAAGCAACATGAACAGATGGTTAATATTATAAAATCATCATTCGACACCTCTCCTCCAGATAATGAAAATTGGACACGAATACATATCCATTTACCATCACCAACTATCATTATCACCACTTCGCTCCAAAGAAAAACAAACATCCAAAATGACGAAAAACTAAAAAAGAAAACAGAAATAAAAATGAAAAACTCACTTAATACACTCGAAGAATGGAGTACACATCTCACCGAATACTGGAAAATCTCAACATTACACAAAAACACACGCGTTGTTATGATCCAAATATTCTATAACATAGTTATTTTAATATTAATTAATAACTTTTATTATATTTAGCATTTTTAATAATTAAATTTATTTAATTTAATTATTTATTATTTAATTATTTAA